GATAAGGGTCTTACCGTCGGAGGTGTAATTTCTGATTTCCATCCCGATGGGGTTTTAGTGGAAGGAACAGGGTCTTAATGGTAGGAGGGGCAATTGCGAGATTTTTCCTCAAAAGGGTTTTGGTGGGAAGATCAGGGTCTTACCGATAAGAAGGGTAATTTCAGATTTCTACCTTGATATGATTTTGGTGGGAAAATATGTTTCTTATAGGAAAGAGTGGTAATTTCGGGATTTTACCCTAATAGGGTTTCGGTAGGAAGATCAAGGTTATACTTGTAGGAAGGGTAATTTTGGTCTTACCGGTAGAAGGTGTACTTTCGGTACTTTACCCCCAATAGGGTTTCGTGTAAAGTTCAGGGTCTTACTTATAGCAGGGGTAATTTCATGATTTTACCCTGATAGGGTTTCAGTGGGATGATCACGGTCTTACCAGTAGGAGGGTAATTTCAGATTTCTCCTCGATACAGTTTCGACGGGAAGATCAGGGTCTTACTAATCAGAGGGATAATTTTGGGATTTTAACCTAATAGGGTTTCGGTTGGAAGATCAGGGTCTTACCGGTAGGAGTGGTTATTTCGGATTTCTACACCGATAGGGTTTAGGCAGGAAGATTAGGGTCTTATCGGTATGAGGGGTAATTTCGGGATTTTACCCCAATAGGGTTTCGGTTGGAAGATTAAAGTCTTACGGGTAGAAGGGGTAATTTTGGTATTTTATCCTAATGGGGTTTCGGTGGGAAGATCAAGGTCTTACCAATAAGAGGGGTAATTTTAGGTTTCTACCCCAATAGGGTTTCAGTAGGAAGATCATGGTCTTACAGGTAGAAGGGGTAATTTTAAGATTTTATCCTAATAGGGTTTCCGTGAGATGATCAGGGTCTTACCAATAGGAGGGGTAATTTTAGATTTCTAACCCGATAGGGTTTTGGTGGGAAAATAAGGGTCTTGACGATTCAAGAGGTAATTTCGGGATTTTACCCCAATAGGGTTTCGTTGGGGTCATAAGGGTCTTACCGTTAGGATGGGTAATTTCAGATTTCCACCCCGATAGGGTTTCGGTGGAAAGATCAGGGTCTTAAATGTAGGACGGGTAATTTTGGGATTTTACACCAATAGGGTTCTGTGGGAATATAAAAGTTTTACATGTAGGAAGGGTAACTTCGAGACATTACTCCAAGTTTTGGTGGGATGATGAGGGTCTTACTAGTAGGAGGGGTAATTTTGGGATTTTACCCTAATAGGATTTCAGTGGGAAGATCAGGGTCTTACTAGTTGGAGGGGTAATTTCTAATCTCTACCCTAATAGGGTTTTGGTTGGAAGATCAAGGTCGTACAGGTAGGAGGGATAATTTCAGGATTTTACCCCAATAGGGTTTCAGTGGGAAGATCAGGGTCTTATCGGTAAGAGGGGTAATTTCGGGACATTACCCCAATAGGGTTTTGGTGGGAACATGAGGGTCTTACAGGTAAGTAGATTAATATATATGTATGTATAAAATATCTGAGTTTCAGGTCCGAACCTGAAAACCCGGTTTTAGACCTGATCCGGACCGGAACCGGAAACCTTGAATTTCAAGGATCGAGACCGGAACTGATTCTTTAGGGTCGGATCAGGTTCGGTCCCAATAGGTTCGGTTCAGGTTGATTTTTCAAATCCAGTCTTGTTTATGTACACCCCTAACCGCATACACAAAACCACCATTGCCGCCCAAAATTCACTGCAAAGCAGCTTCAAACAGAGCAAATCATCAATTTCGATTCAATAGCAAATTTCAAAACAATCCCCCCCTTTGGATTAATTATGACTATTTTATGCAATTGATGTGAATTTTTTATTTTGATTTTGATCTGGTAAAAAACAAGAGCAAAGGAGAGAGCAAGAGAAAGGAAGAGAAGGAGAGAGAAAGAGAAGGGAAGAGAAGAAGGATTGTCGCATGAACAACCACACCCAATAGTTTGTGTATAGTTAAATCATAAAATATGGTAGGAATATTTTAAATTTTCCAATTAATAATTGAAAATGTTCTCCTTCCAATGAAGAAAAGTTTCTCTTAATTTCAATAAAATTAGAGTAAGTGATATGGATTCTGATAGAGGATATAGTACCAAAGTTTAAATTTTTGATTGAGTTGGTCCTTCTACATAGTATCAAAGTTAATGTGACACAAAATTTACATGTTCAAATCTCATCTATCCCCACTTTTAAGTGGCATATTTGCACTGGGAATGAAAGGACCCATGCTGCATCTACTTTAAAAGTGCAACCATGTGAAGAGACGTGATAAAGAATATAAATCAATTATGAGTTTCAATCAAACTTTGGGTTGACTTAGTCCTTCTACATATCTATTTTACCCCTTCAAGTCTACAACTAATTTTTGTAAAATAACCACCTCTAAATTCTTACAAGTATTACACAAATCCATTTCTTGTTTACCCTAAGAGTTAGGTATAATGGGCAATGGCCATGCCCAAAAATGTTAATGGCTTGGGACAAAACATGACATGTATGAGATTTGAGGTGATTTTCCCCGCATGTATGTCTAACAATGATAATATGAGATAGATATGTGACAAAGTAGCAATAGCTACTCCTTACTATTCTAGTTATGTTTAGCTACTCCATATTAATATAGTAATATCGTAATAGTTATTGTTGGGATTTGAAAAGGAAAACTTGGCGTTGTTAGGTGTAGAAGCTGTACAACTTTGTATATATATATATATATATATATATATATATATATATATATATATATATATATATATATATATATATATATTTTTCAAGGTATCAAGTTCTTGACAATGTGTGTAATTAATTTAATGTTTAGCTTGTAGAAGATATTACGAGTATTTTGAAGCACTCATTAAGAGTTTCACAAAGTATATCATACATTTATATTTCTCAATGGATAATTTAGAGTTTAAATAAGAATAAAGATATACTCAGTATACAATTACCCAAAAAAAAAAAAAACAGTATCTAATAAAAACAAAATTCATACTTCACCAGTTTCATAATAATTATAACATTTTGCAATATTCTAGAGGTCATAAAAAATCGGGTCAGGCCGGGTCTTAACATAATTCCTTATGTCCAAACTCGCAAAAAGTAGCGGGGCTTGTCGGGCCAATGTGGGCTTTTCGGGCTTTTGCGGGCCGGGTTAGGATATTTAACTAAAAATGCGTTTTTCATGCTTGTCTAAACCCGCTCTATTTTCGGGCAGGATCGGACCGGACTAGCGGGTCGGACCAATGTTGATCACCTATACAATATTCACATATTTTACTTTGATTATTATGGTGATTTACACGTAAGAAAAATCATAATTTAAAAGTTTTTATGTGCCCCCGGTGTACAGTAATATTACTGTAAATCCAAATCTCACACATGCCATGAGCAATCAACTCATTCATGAAAGCAACAACAACAATCCCAAATATTTTTCTCACTCATGTTTCTTCAACCAAGCAAAAGAATATTGCAACCAAATTCAACCTCAAAAATCACAAGAAGATTGTTATTGTGATCTGTATAGAATTTCAATTCCACTGATCTAAATTTTTCGACCTGCAATTGATTGACATGTTGTTGATCATATTATGAACCCTAAATTACTCAATCGCGATAAATTTTATCAGTAAGAATTCCAATTGATTTTTCTGGTCATATTTCCAAAGCTTCACTGCAAATCATGGTATGAAATTCAAATATTTAACTCTCAAATCATGATTGAAGCTACATGAAAACGACTACTTTGTATTTGGTAATGTCAAATTAATCTTAGTTTCCAGTCTTTATTGTATTAGTTTTCATTTATCCAATTTCTCGCTGATATTTATGTTGATTTTTCTGATTATTTTGTTGTGTTGTCTTTTACTTTTAGCTTCAATGTAGTACTGGTGTATCACAATTTATCAGGGTACTATGCAATTTTATTGATACGGAGTATACCCATATAAAGCGCTCTGAAATTGTTGTTGGTGCTTATGTATAATTAAGGTACTATGCAATTTTATTGAATATAAGAGTATTCACAGCCCTCTGTAAATATGCCAGTCGTTAATTGGAGAGAATAAACCTTTATATACATAAAACAATTTTTTATTGTGTTGTTTACAAGCCTATTAGTTTAATTGGACGAGCATTATATGCTTCTACGCACAGAGGATATAGGTTCGAATCCTACATAGGCTATTTTATTGTATTTTGTATGTACGAAATATTAACTTAACAAATAGTGATTCTAGCTAGAGAAAAAAGTGACCCTAATTAAAGGCAAAAGTAATCCTAATTAAGGACAAAAGTGACTTTAATTGGGACAAAGGTAACCCTAACTGGGGTAAAAGTGACCCTAACCGAGGGCAAATAAAAGTGATTTTTATTAAGGGCAGAAATTACCCTAACTGGCACAAAAGTGACCCTAACCAAGGACAAAAGTGACCTTAATTAGGGACAAAAGTGATTCTAACCGAAGGAAAAAGTTACTCTAGCCGAGGGCAAAAGTGACCCTAATTTGAGACTAAAGTGACCCTAATTTGGGACAAAAGTACCCTAAGCAAGGAGACAAAAGTAAAGTTACTCTCACCAAGGATAAAAATGACCCTAGTCAAGTCAAAAGTGACCCTACTCAAGTGAAAAGGTACCCCTAACCATAGACAAAATTAATTGTATTTAAGAGTGAAAGTGAGCATAATCAAGGCAAAAATAACCCTAATCGAAAGCCCTTAATTAATTAAATGATCCTAACTAAAAGTGATAAACTTGTTATATATAAAAATGGCCAAGGTAGTTACACCAACAATAGGAATACACCAATATGAAAGTATTATGTATAGGCTATGCGGGGCTTGAACCTACACCATGTACACTATAGTACATTGCTCTACCATTTGAGCTAAAAACCTTGAAAGTAGATGTACACTTTTCATTCTATTATAACCATGCAATATAATCACATATAGGACTCGGGGATGCTGAATTGCTGATGATTGTGGAATTTGCTGAAGGGATGAACACACACTAATGTTCGCCGACGTCCCCGCCATATCCATGGGTGGTGGGTTGCATCCCTGTCATTGCATTTACATTAGCAACACAGTAATTGCAGTATAAAACTAGCTCCATCAAAACGAATATAATCACATTACTTTGCCGCATTTTAAATGGTTTCACAAATTTGCAGATACAAAATAATTTAAGGGTCAATTTCAGATGAATGCCAAATTGTTAATGAAATCAACTATGAGTATTACCCAAAAAACAATTGTACATCAAAACTGCCATGATTTGCACAAAATGGACACATAAAGCGTATATGATCCAATAATCACAAAAAAAAAAAAAAAATGACAGAAATTACACAAGCAAATAATTAGGTTACAAAATCCTAAATTATAAGAGAGAAAATTATCATGGTGCCTCTATTTTGAACTATTGAAAGCACCATAATAGTTTATTCAGCAAAAACAAAACTATATCTAATTAAAAGGAGCAATAACACTCGATGAACAAAGAGAAAGCAGTGAAAATACCCACAATATCCCCTTAACTTAAGCCATTTACAACTTTACAAGACCAAACATTGATCAATTGATCCGTACCATATCTCACACATAAATTTCCCGGGAAAATTGAAATCTGTGAAACATTCAAATATCACATGGGTGTAAGTTCTGGTGCTTCAGCCATCAAAAACTTCCTTCAAATCAACCCCATTGCTGATAAACTCAAACCCACCAAGGCAAAATCCACCATTAACACCATTCTCGCTCACCTCGAAGCCGGCCGCCTCAAGAAAGCCGTCTCTCTCCTCTTTTCTTCTCCTTTTCCCTTTGATCTCCCGCTTTACGGCCACCTCTTTCAGCTCTGTTCTGCAAATCGAGCCATTGTTGAAGCTCGTAAAGTCGAGTCTCATTTGATCTCGTACTATGATCCACCTCCCACGTTTTTGCTTAACCGCGCGATTGAGGCGTATGGTAATTGCCGGTGTGTGCAGGATGCACGTGAACTGTTCGATGAAATGCCTCACAGAGATGGTGGGAGTTGGAATGCTTTGATTACTGCGTATGCGAAAGGGGGGTTTCCGCGTGAGGCGTTGGGGCTGTTTTTGGATATGAATCGGTCTGGGGTTTCGCCGAGTGAGGTTACGTTTGCGAGTGTTCTTGGGTCTTGTGGGGTTTTGTTGGAATTGGGTTTTGCTAGGGTTGTTCATGGGTTTGTTGTGAAGTTGGGGTATGGTGGGAATGTGATATTAGCGAGTGCTTTGGTTGATGTTTATGGGAAGTGTGATGAGATTGTTGATGCTCGGAGGATGTTTGATGAAATTGATAGACCGAATGCAGTTTCGTGGAATGTGATTGTAAGGCGGTATCTTGAAGTGGGTGATGAGAGACAGTCGATTTTAATGTTTTTTCAGACGATTCAAACAGGGGTAAGGCCATTGACGTTTACCTATTCAAGTGCTCTTGTTGCGTGTTCTACTAGGCAGGCGTTTTTAGAGGGAATTCAGATACATGGTATTGTAATTAAGTATAGACACGAAGATGATGAGAAAGTTGCTACTTCTCTGATCGATATGTACGTGAAATGCAATGATGTTGTGAGTGCCAGGAAGATATTTGATCAGCCTAGTGTTAAGGATTTACTTTCTTGGACTTCTATGGTATCAGGATATGCTATGGCAGGAAGACTTAAAGAAGCCCAAGAGCTTTTTGATAAGATGCCTGAGCGAAGCATCATCTCTTGGAATGCAATATTGGCAGGGTATGTGCGCTTTGGCCAATGGGAGGAGGCCCAAAGTTTTATTTTCAAGATGCGCCAGAACATTAATGATGCTGATGGTGTAACTCTGAATCTAGTGTTGAATGTGTCCACTGCACTCTCAGATATTGAGTGTGGTAGTCAAGCTCATGCTTACATTTATCGACATGGATTTGAGTCTGTTATATATGTGAACAATGCACTCATTGACATGTATGGAAAATGTGGGGCCTTAGGAAGAGCTAGAATTTGTTTTCATAACATGAGTGGTCAGAGGGACACAATATCGTGGAACTCCCTGATGAACTCCTTGGCACAACAGCAGATGAGCATGGATGTTATTACTATGTTCCGTGAGATGCAGAAGGAAACAACTCCAAATGAATATACATTTTCAACCCTTCTTGCAGCATGTGCTAACATATATGCAAACAACCAAGGAAAACAAATCCATGGTTTTATGATCAGGAATGGCTATAAGATAGATGATGTTATTTTAAGTGCTTTGCTTGTGATGTACTCAAAATGTGGACATCTTGAGTATGCACTCAAGGTCTTAAAAAATGCAAAACCGGGGGATGCAACCCTCTGGAATTCTATGATTATTGGGTGTTGTCGTCATGGTAAAGCAAGGGAGGCTCTTGACTTGTTTAATTTGATGAAAGAGATTGGGGTTGAACCTGATAATGTTACCTTCCAGGCAGTTTTCAATGCATGTATTTGTGAGGGATTTGTTGATGAGGGCAAGAGATACTTTGATACCATGATCAATGATTATGGCATCACGGTCAAATTAGAGCATTATGAGTGCATGATTAATCTATACACCAGATATGGAGCGATGAAGGAGCTTGTAAAGCTTTTAAAAATGCCTTTTAAACCAACCATGTCTATGTTGACAAGGATTTTTGATGCTTGTAAAGTATATTCTAATCCAAGATTGGCAATGTGGGTAGCTAAAAAGTTGAATTAGCTGAACCAAAGCTAAGCCACCCAGTTCCGTACCATATTGATCGCCATCTTGATCGCCACTTGATCAAATCCAGTCTGCCCACTTGATCGCCATCGTTCTCCAAATTAAAAGAAGCAGGGCATTGTAGCAGGAGTGATTGATCCTTTCATGGCTCATCACTTTGGCTGCACTTTGCTGTGTGGCATGGACAATTTCCTTGCCTGTGTTTTGACGTATCTTTGATCAAGCACAATACAATGCTCAATAAGGGAAACTCAAGCTCTTGCAGAATCTGCTAATCGGTAATTGGACGCATTCTATGAAGGAAAGTAGGCAAAAATGTGGTAATTTTCTGTTTATTTTGTTGATCATAGATGTCAAAAGAATGCCTTCATTTCTTCCTGGTTTATTTATTTTTTACTATTCCTTTTGTTCAGTTTCTCCACCCCTCCCATTGAAGATGAAGGTTGGTGAATTTTCATCTTTACTTCATGTACCAATAATGGGTAGGAAACGTAATTTGTTCTGCTAGCAGCATTAGTAGCATTGATGTGTAAATGTATGCATTTGAAAGTTGAAACACAATAATGTGATACCATTATTGATTTAAACGTCTTAGAAATTATACTTTGTAAGTACTAGTTATTTATTGTCATCAATCTTTCTTAACTGTAAGCTTTATTGATTAATGATTGATGCTGTTTCTACATATGCAGAACTGGCAGGAACAACTTTTATTTGCAGTCTTGAAGGTCTCTTTTCAGCTTCCTCATCTTAACTTTTGAGATCATGCTGAGATTTAAGTGTTCATTTGCATGATTACGTAATTCTTTATTTAAGGTTAAAGATAACTCATCATCGATACAATCAGCTAGCATCAAGGTAAATTGTAAATCTCTTTAGTTTAAAATCTGATACTATGATTTGAATTTTGTCATACTGTTTGTATTGAGACTTATAATGGGTAGTGTTAGCAATTTATTTGTTTATTGTGAGAGGGAAGATGTGAAATTTCTGGCATGGGGTGTGTAAAGGAATATTGTACGAGCTGCAGGATGAACTTTACACTACTTGTAAGTAGATTTCAGTTCTATATGTTGATATTAGCTTTGCATGGTAGAGATGGAGTTTAGCTGGGTAGAATCTCTTGTCGGTTGACCATGGGGAGTGTAAGCTGGACTATTTAATGATATACTTTTATAGATTGAGGTTGGAGTGTATACAATTTAAAGATTGTCGTATGAATGCATGATTGTCTTTGGTTAGGGGTTGGGTGAAGTTGTAAAGAAGCAATTACAACTCTTATTAGTGAAAGGAGAAAGGAGATGAAGGAGGAAGAATTTATGCTTCATATAAAGTTCCTAGCAAGGATGCAATGATGTAGATTTAAAAGGTGTTTCCATTCATGATTTCCTTTCCTAAGGGATATCTTAAATACCATACTGTCCATGCAGAGTATTCAGAGTATTAGCAGTGCTAAAGGGAGAATATCCTTGTGTCTGTTTCTTAAGAACATTGCCACATTTATAAGAGTTTTAATTGTGCTTAGTACCACAGCAGTAAATCATCACTTTACTGAATTAATGATCCCTCTTGAACTTTGTGTAAAGTATGTGCTGTGCTTGCTCTCTCTTTAGTTCTCTTTCTTTCAACTATCTTTGGGTTCCAATCTAAAGATGATTAATTATGAAGTACTAGTTACCAGCATCACAATATAGATTAGTAATGTGGTTCAAGAATTCTATCATATGTTGGGAGTTAATTTGCCAATTCTGTTCTGCCATGTAGGCTTATTGGGCGGCCTTGCTTTTAATTCTATATTATCTTCAATTGTCTTGAGGGTGACTCTAATTAGGCCAGGTTTTTTCAAAATTCTTCTTTATTACCTTCCCTTCTTTATGGTATTTTGGACGGGATTGCTAGGAAAGCAGGAATTTAATGGGTAAAAGATGGGTTGTCTTGTTGTTTGAGATTTGGTCTGTTGGCTAAGGGAGTAAGAACTATCTTTTTGTATTGAGGTGTCCCGAAAAAAAAAATCTATTTAATGGGAAAGTAGCTTGGGGTATGGGGTGATCAATATAACATTGGCAAATTGTTAGGATGTTTTATGTACTCACATGTTGACTGGAATTGGGGCTCCCTATCTAGCCTGTGGAAGTTTGTCTCAATGGTTTTTTCTTTGTAACTTTATTTGGCTAAGTTTCAGTTAGGAAATGAGGCAAATGTAGGTTTTGAGAAGATTAAATTTTTGGTACGTGCACAATTTAAAATCATGTAACCGTCATGTTAGAAAGAATCCACAGAACAAGGAGCCACTTTCAGTAGAATGAGGGTGGGAACCAGCTCTGGTTTCAATTCTTCAATCTTGGACCAAATCTGGTAGAAACAGTTTTAGGTTCAAATCTGGTAGATCTTAGATAATCACCAATTAATTCTGGTTATGGCACAGGGTACCCAACTGTTTCTCACCCCTATTCTTGTATGGACAACCTTGATAATCTCCAGCTGAGGCAGCCAAGAAGAACCATTTTTTCGTATTGTGTTATAAGGTTGAGGCAGCTAACAAGTACCGTTTTTTTCTTTTTATAGATGGTTGCTGGTTTATGGTGCATACTTCTTGAATTAATAGGGGAGGCTGGGAGCACTAAAAAATGCCTTGCTCACTGTTAATGTGCACTCCCTCTTGGATGTGTATCACGCAAACGTTTTTTGTTAAAATGACATTCATCATGCTTAACGAATCTTTGCTTCTCATTGATTTTCAATGCTTTGAATGGCAGGAATGGCTCTTACGGCTGACTCACTAGCTTAAAACTATCATAATCCACATCTGCAATTTCGAGGCCATGCTGAGACATAAGCAATGCAAACGCGTTATCCCTAAGCATGATGCATAGTCAGACGACTTATTGCTTCTCAAATCAAAACGCTACAACCCAAGGCACATTTTGTTTACTGTTGAATGATTGGATCATAGGTCTATAATTAAGTTGGCTATATATTTGTGTCGGATCATACTTCAGGAGGTGTATAAACTATTACACCACAAATAATTAAAATCTACTTCGTCGAATTTAACTAATGCCTCAGTTATATTCTTGTTTCAACCAATTGTAAAATGTTTTACTTTGTACATGGACAACACGGGTCGCACACCATCAGAACAAAACCAAATCATCTAGTGAGGGTTTATTTGGTTAATATAGGAACTAAATTCCTATGGTAATTTGTATTTCATGAGAATTTGTTTCCTTCATACAATTTCTAGAAAATGGCCTTAAGTTGTTTGGTTCTCATAAAGGAATTTGCAATTCATGGGAATTTTGAGTGACCAAGGGGGAGGTAGGTAATTAACTTCCCATGTTTTGTGAAAAGTCATAATTCCCATGAATTTCCAATTCCTGTATTTTCACTTTTTGTAGTCAATCAAATAACTATCCCATTTGCAAATTTCCACATTTATGAAGGTTAACCAAACAACACCTGAAACTGACTAATAAATGCCTTCACCAGTTCACCAAAAAGAGCCCCCTTTTTTTTTTTGGTAACACGTTAAGACTTCACAATACTTGTGCCCCTAATCATGGTCCAACTTATTAGGAGCGCTCATCATAGCTTTTATGGTGGTAGGTATATATTTGTAAGTAATCAATAATCAATAACTATATACTAAAAGCGAAATCAGAAGTGACACATATTATCTTTTGGTTGGAAATTTTCCCTCCATTTTATTCATTCCTTTTTCTTTTTTTTTTTTTTCAAATCTTCATTAATTATTCCACAACTTAAGATATTTTTCTTGCATCTTGACAATTATATTGGCTTCCATATACACTCAAGTATGTAAGGAAATAAAATGATTTGATGTATTTTCTATATATTTAATTTACAAGTAGGTGTTCTAGAAATAAATGAATATAGATAAGGCAATATATTTTTAGAATAATATTAGTAGTCAATATTTTTGTATTATTATATCATTATTCTATTTTTTAATTGCTATAACTTCGTTATTTGGATTTTGGGCAATGCATTTAATTTCAATAGATAAAAAATTCACTTTGGTAATATATATATGTATTATTGTATATACAATAATTTTCTATTCTTAAAAGGCAATCAATAATAGCATGTGTCTGTAGAAAAAAAAAATACAAAACAAAATATGTAGGTCTTTTTTTTTTTAAAACAAGCAAGAATATCATTAATTCAAATCAAATTCCGCCAAGGTTAAAAGGCCTTGGGGGAACGAGTTCAGCCGTACAACTTCTGAGCTATTACTAGTACACCATCTCACAACGAAGTGGGCAAGAGTATTTCCCGCTCTACGTACATGAGAAATTCTAAAAGTATCAAAACCTCTAGAAATTAAAGCAATGTCATCATAAATCAACCAAGAAGGAGCACAACCAGCAGTAGAAGAGCTGATGTTGTTGATCACAGCCAATGAATCACCTTCAATCCAAACCGATCTATTACCCATACGCCTAGCCATCTGACAACCAAAACGAACAGCCGCAGCTTCTGCATCTTCCACCTTACAGTTAGCGTGGATTCTCCTAACAGCAGCCCAGAGAATCATACCATTGTGGTCTCTTGCTACAGCACCCAGCCCCCCAAACAGACCCACCCCAACGTGTGCATCAACATTTGTTTTAATCGTATCATTAGGAGGGGGGGACCAGGAACCAGCAGAAATAGGAGGGGAAACAGGAGGGGGCTGAGTAGGACAACAGAACACCTTTTTTGCGTAGGAGCAACAATCAAGGACCAATTTTGAGAACCCCGCAATGGTGAAGCTCAAATCAAGAGATACATTCTCATGTATACGCTTGTTCCTGCAAAACCAGATTGCCCACGCAATTGTCATCAAATCATGAAGCTCAGTTTTGTCAACCTTACCGGCCAGCCACATGAATATATCAGAAAAAGCACTAAGATGTTTGGCATCTTTCAACAAATCCCCAAAGTCCCCCACCTGCCACGCTTGCTGCACATTAATGCAATCAAACAAGGCATGCGTGACAGATTCATCCCCCATACCACAACTATCACAAAAGCTATCAGCAGCTATATGACGCCTACAGAGCTCTTTCTTCACAACCATTCCTCCCTTGCATGCTTGCCAAACAAAGTGCCTAAGTTTTGGAGGATGGACCTCCCAAACCCCACACCTCTTTCCATAGCTCACAGCATTTCGCCCAGCAGAGGTACATTGTACAACCCCCAGAATACTAGGCCAATACCTTGATTTCACACTATATTCACCATTTTTTTTAAGCCACCAAAAGTGAGCATCATCAGGTAAAGTGCAAGACAAAGGAAGCTGCTGAATAATATCACAAATTTCAGGTGAGAATAGCTGTTGTAGGACATCCACCTTCCATTCACTACACTGGTAATCAATCAGATCAGTAACACGTAAATCAGGATCGTATGAAACACCGTGCTCAGGGACAATATTATCAGGAAGCCAATTATCAAGCCACACTTTCACATTGCATCCATGTCCAATTCTCCATTGCAGACCATCAAGAAGCAGCGATTTTGAGCCCCACAAACTTCTCCAAGAATAACTTGGATCATACCCTCTCCTAGCCTCCAATATAGTGTCGTGCTTAAAGTATCAAGCTTTAAGAATGGCAAAAAGAAGGGGGTTTGGATTATTGTAGAGTCGCCATAATTGCTTCGCAAGTAAGCCTTGATTGAAAACCTCAAGGTCCTGACTCCGCATACCTCCCATTGACTTAGGCTTGCATAAAGATGACCACCAGCGCCAGTGCATTTTCCTCCTAGTCCCATCGGATTCCCGCCAAAACCGGGCTAAAAGAGCATGAATTTCGTCAACTAGTCCTTCTGGCACCTTAAAAATACTCATCATGTATGTCGGGATCGCCTAAGCCACGGCTTTAATTAAAGTCTCCTTCCCAGACCGAGACAATATTTTTTCCTTTCAACCCTGAATTTTCCACCATATCCTCTCCTTCAAACTAGCAAAAATTGCCTTCTTCGATCAACCTATGATAGTAGGTAAACCCAAGTATTTCTCACGTCTCTCTACTTCTTTCACCCCTAAAATGCCTACAATTTCTTGTCGTCGATTTGCATCCACACATTTACTAAAAACCACATCTGTTTTAGTCATATTGACACTTTGCCCTGATGTCTTTCATACTTGCTGATAATGTCAGCCATCACCGAGCACTCTCTAACAGTGGCCTTAGCAAATAAAATGTTGTCATCGGCAAAAATTAAATGAGATATTCTGGGGCCATCCCTGCAAATTTTTGCCCCATGGATCAAGTTTTCATTAGCAGCTTTACGAAGAAGAGTCGAGAAAGCATCTGCAACAATTAAGAATAAATAGGGAGACATTGGATCACCTTATCTCAAGCCCCTGGAAGAAACAACAGACCCCGAAATTGCCCCATTAATCTTGAATGCAAATGATACACTTGACAAGCAATCAAGAATTCTTCTAACCTAACTATCACAGGAACCCATCTTGTACATTACCCGTTTCAGGAACTGCCACTCAACTCTATCATAAGCTTTACTCATATTAAGTTTTGAGCAATCGTACCATCTTTTCTCTCTCCCTTCCTTTTCATCGCATGGAAAATTTCAAAAGCAATTAATGCATTATCTGTGATCAACCTTTTCAATTTGTTTGCCAGCATTTTTGAGATTATTTTATACAACACATTTATAGCAGCTAATGGGTCGAAATTCCGAAACATATTTAGGATTATCACATTTCGGGATTAGGACCACACAAGTTTTATTCACATCGTTCAAATGCGCATCCCCGCTCCACCAACTCTTCACAAAACATATAATATCATGCCTAACAATATGCCAAAAATTTTGGAAAAAAAAAGAGCGTGCATACCGTCAGGGCCCGGAACTTTATTCGGGTGCATTTGGAACAACGCTGCTTTGATTTCCTCTGCTAAAGGTTCCATGCTTAGAGCCATATTCATTTCATCCGAGACCACCCTCTCCATTCCCCCAAGCGCATCATCAAATTTAGATGGCTAGCCAGACTTGAATAATGAGCGAAAGTAGTCGGCCACTGTCTCCTCCATTCCCAGTTTATCACCCTTCCAGTCCCCATCATTATTGTACAACCCATTTACCTTATTAATATGTTGCCTATTACTCGCTTCTTGATGAAAATAAGAAGTATTCTTATCTCCATCCTTCAATTCATTTGCTCTAGCTCTAGCATGCAAATAGGATTCCAAACTCATCAAGTTGTACAGATAATGACTTACATTGCTCAAACATTGCCGCATCTGGAAAACCTCCCTGAGCTTCACGAAGTTTCTCTTTAGTTTGCTTGATTTTCTTTTTTACACTGCCAAAGGTTTTGGCCGCCCATGCTGATAGACTCTCCGCACAATTTAAAAGTCTTTGCGCTGCTTGCAAACACGCACTACCCATCCAAGCCTCCTGCACTACCTTCCCACAATCCTCATTTGAAAGCCACAAGGCTTCAAACTTGAACACCCTCTCCACCGTACCTCTTTCGTAGTAATTACTAGCACTCACCATTATTGGGGCGTGGTCAGAATGATAAATAGGGAAGTGTCGAACCTCATAATAAGGGAACATAGAGCACCATTCCCCATCTGCTAAGAACCGGTCCAGTCTTTCACGAATATAAGTCTCTGGATTAGTGCCTTTCCTCCAAGTAAAAACACTGCCCTTGAAACCCATATCCCTCATACCACAGTCATCAACGGTATTTCTAAAAGCGTCCATTAGAGCCTCCCTTCTCGGCACCCTCCATCTTTCTCATCCATACTCATTATTTCATTAAAATCCCCAAACATCAAACAAGGGATAGAACAACTATCTTTAATTCGTCGAAGCGTAGCCCAAGTGAGATGTTTATTTTCTTGTTCCGGCCACCCATAGATTCCAACCGCTCTCCAAAGTGGCACCCCATTATGATCACAGATGTCAGCAATAAAATGATGAGTAGAATATGAGCTAGTAGTCACATTCAAGTCCCTCCACCAAAAACCCATTCCATCAGATTTCCCCCTACTACTAATACAAATACCATTAACAAAGCCGCAACGATTTCGAACCCTCTCCAAACAAGCACTGTCTATCATTGTTTCCATCAAAAAAAACAATGTTTGGCCTTTCTCTCCAACACCAATCCCGAA